TGCCGAAGCATTTTTATGACAGTGTCTTTAATATCCTTGTCAGATAATTCCAACATATGATTCATCTCAGTGTTGGCACTGATTGTCATTTCTCATTCAAATAGTGGCTTTCTTGGCTCTTTGTGTGATGGGTAAGTTTTTTACTGGATCCTAGGCCTTTTCTATTGTGTGAGAAGATTTTGGGTGCTACTTGAAATTTTTATTTTACTTGGTTGTTGCCCTGCTTAAATTTAGCATGCGGGATTTGTCCTACTTTCGTGGGTTTCTGCTCCAATGGCAGTTTGATTTTCAGAAGACTTTGGTATTATTTTGGCCTTCTTTGTTAAATCTGGTGCCATTCTGGCTTGCTTCTACTGGTCCCCTGAAGAGACAGGAAGGGTTTTCCTCTGTCAGGCTTCCCGGTGTCTCTTGGTGCCTCCCCTGCTGTCCTCTAGGTGTTCCTGTGTCTCTGGGTGGGGTAGGAGAGCCCTTGGCCCACAGGGACAAAGAGTCTTCTGGAATGGGCCACTGGTTCTAGCTGGGCCTCTCCTGCCTGTTCTTCCCACACACTTTGATATGTCTCTGCAGGAGGGGAGAGTCTCAGGCCTGCAGAGACAATGAGGCTTCCCAGATGGACCACTGGTAGCTGTATCCCTTTAGCAAGCTCTGCCCACCTATCCAATTATACATCCTCCTCTGGGGACTGTTACAGATAAACTTTACTTTCATTTGGGTACAACCATGTATCTGGCAGTTTTTCCCAGCTATTTTTGTCAAGGTGAGCTGTCAGAGTGGCAGGATTAAGAGTTGAGCTGTCTTTTTGTGGGATAGTTTTTTTTTTTCAATTTGTTCATAGACAGAGCTCTTAAGAGTAGGAGGTTGATAGTGTTCTGAGAAGTCCACCTAGTGCTGCGTCCTTCAGTCTCGTCAATGCTGAATAAAGTGGAGCCTCAGTCCTCCACTGGGTCCTGCTGACATTATGGGGAAGGACCACTGCAGGGGCTAGTCCTGTTTCACACTTTCTCCTTTGGTCTCATGCTGTAGTGTGAGTGTGAAAGTGAGGCTCTCCATCAAGCTTCACTAACACCAGGGATGGGGGAAAGCAGAGTGTGGCCTTTCCCCACCTTGCTTCCTTTTTCATGTTCACTGATGCTGGCTGTCTGCCGAGGCCCAGCTCCATGCTGAGTCCCGCTGACACTAGGACTGTGGCAAAGCACAACAGTGACTAGACTGGCCTCCCATTGCCTGGTTAGGTTGCGGTGTTGCCTGATAGGAGTGGAGGGTCGGCTTGACGCTGGGTGCCATGGACACTACCCTGATGGAGGACTCAACATTGCTGCTCCTGTTGGCACAGGGATGAGAGATCGGCTTCCCGCTGAGTCCCTCTGATATTACCCTATCAGAGAATGTAAGCAACACCTGCTTCCAGAAGGAGAATGAGCTTTCTACTAAGTCTCACTGACAGAGCCTCAGCAGCGAAATCAGAACATTGCTCCTTGCTTCCACCATGTAGGGATGGAAGTTCAGCTCCCTGGCCAGTTCTACTATTCTACAAGGCAGGGAGATCAGAGAACAGTCACTTGCTTCCATGGAGTGAAGAGACTGGGTGAAAGATTAGCTTCCATTTGCTTCCATGAAGCAAGAGACTGGGTGAAAGATTAGCTCCCTGTCTGGCACCACTGAAATCCCAGGGGAGGGGATGCAGTTTTTTCCATGGTATATGACCGGAGCAGAACAGGTATTGCCAAAAAATGTTTTCTGTTGTGAAGCCGTGCTCTTTTCAGTCATTTGGCTGGGACTTTCCTGGAGAATTGTTTTGTCAGTTCTTGTTGGAGATCCCAGGTTGAAGAAGCTTCTGCAATGCCCTGTCTGGGATATGTGAATAGAAATGAAGTCCCAAGGACTCATTGTTAAGGGATCTCAGAACTTGAAGAATAACATGACAATGAGGTGGTTTTCTTTTCCACTTTAAGTTCCAGGATACATGTGCAGAACATGCAGATTTATTACATAGGTAAATGTATGCCTCGGTGGTTTGCTGTACCTATCAACCTCTCACCTAGGTATTAAGCCCCACATGCATTAGCTATTTGTCTTGATGCCCTCCCTCCCTTTGCCCCCTGCCCCCAACAGACCCCAGTGTGTGTTGTTCTCCTCCCTGTGCTTGTGTTCTCATTGTTCAGCTCCCATTTATAAGTGAGAACACGCAATGTTTGGTTTTCTCTTCCTGTGTTAGTTTGCTGAGGATGATGGCTTCCAGCTTCACCCATGTCCTTTCAAAGGACATGATCTCATTCCTTTTTATGGCTGCATAGTATTCCATGGTGTATATGTGTCACATTTTCTTTATCCAGTCTACCACTGATGGGCATTTGGACTGGTTCCATGTCTTTGCTATTGTGAATAGGGCCACATTGAACATATATGTGCCTGTATCTTTATATTAGAATGATTTCTATTCCTTTGGATATATATCTGGTAGTGAGATTTCTGAGTCAAATGGGATTTCTGGTTTTAGATTCTCAAGGAATTGCCACACTGACTTCCACAGTGATTGAAGAATGGCAGGACAATGAATCCTTTGTCCTCTTTTGGAGTTATAACCAGGGCTTTCTGGTTTTGAGATGGAGGGCTTACAAGGGATGGCAGTACTCTATGTTTGCTGGAACTGGAAGTCTCTCCTATAATTTTTCTTATAATTATGCAATAAGAAATATTTTTTACATATTTACCTATGCAGTTAGCATCATCTTTACCTATGCTTTTTATACCTTAGCATAGATTCATATTTCCATCTGGTAAGATCTTCCTTCTGTCTAAAGCACTCCCTCAATATTTCTGTTACTGCAGGTTGGTTGGTGACTAATTCTTTTAGTTTTTGCCTATTATTTTTAATGAGACTGGGTCTCACTCTGTCAACCAGGTTGCAGTGCAGTGGTGCAATCTCGGTTCACTGCAGCCTCGGCCTCCTGGGCTCAAGTGATCCTCATGCTTCAGCCCCACAAAGCAGCTGGAACTACAGGTGCAAGCCAGTATGCCCAGCTAATTTTTATATATTTTTTGTAGGGATGGGGTCTTTCCAACTTGCCCAGGCTGGTCTTGTATTCTTGAGCTCAAGCAACCTGCCCACCTCAACCTCCCAAAGTGCTGGAATTACAGGTGTGAGCCACTGCACCTGGCTGTTTTTGTGTATCTTAAAAAGTCTATTTTATCCTCCTCTTTGAGAGGTATTTCCACTGTGCACAGACACTCTGTGGACAGTCCTTTAGTATTTGAAACATGTTTCTCCACTGTCTCCTCACTTGTATTATTTCTGATGAGACACCTGCTGTCATCTTTGTTATTGTTCCTCTGTACACAATGTGTCTTCTTTCTGTTATTTTAAGATGCTCTCTTTGTCACTGCTTCTGGAAAGTTTGACTCTGCCTTGGTCTGGTTTTCTTCATGTTTCTTGTGCTTGGGATTCACTGAGGTTCTTTTGGATCTGTGGGTTTACAGTTGTAATCCAATTTGGACAATTTTTGGCCACTGCTGCTTCAGTTATGTGTTTATTAGGCTGTTTGGATTTTTCCATGACTCACTCATCCTCTGTTTTTTGGTTTGGTTTTGTTTCTTTTTATTATTTTTTTTTAATCTGAGTTCTCTTTCTTCTGTGTTACATTTTGGATAGTTACATTTTGGATAGTTTCTATTGCTGCCTTTCAATTCACTAGTCTTGTGTTATGCAGTGTCTGATCTGCTGCTCCTCCCATTCCATGTATTTCTCATCGCTAGAAGTTTAATTTGTGTCTTACTTGTACCTTTCATGCCTCCCCCACAGTTACAATGACTGTTTTAGTGCTCTAATAGTAACACTGAGTTCTGGGTATATTTTAAGTCTTCAGTTTGCTTTTCCTCCTCATTATGGATCTGTATTTTCCTGCTTTTTTGCATGCCTGGTACAATTCGATTGTATGCCAGGTATAGTTGATTTTACTTTGTTAGGTGGTGAATATTTTTGTTTCCTTTTAATTATTCGTGGGGTTTGTTCTGGGATGCAGTTAAGTTAGTTGGAAACAGTTTGATCCTTTTGGGCCTTGCATTTAAGATTTTCTAGGTGGAACCGGAGTGTTTGGTTGCTCCCACTACTAAGGCAAGACCTTCCTGTGTACTTTATCCAATGCCCAACCTAAAGGATTCTGAAGTTTTCAATCCTCGCTAATGGAAGCACTCTTCCCAGCCCTCTGTAGCTTAAAGCACTGGTCCTTCCAGTCTCAGGTAGTTCACTCACATGAAGCACTGATCAGTATTCTGACTTGTCCTGCTACCCCTCGAATCTGAATTTAAAGCCACTCCTCAGAACATAAGACAGAAAACACATACCCTAGAAGGGCATCCTCAAAATGCATATGCACAGACCAAGTTTGTAGTATGAGAGAACAGAATTCTATTTGCTTTCTCTCATTAACCTATTAGAATAAATTGCTTTATCAGGTAGTCAAAGGGTTATATAGTCTGAGAAGTCAGCACGCAACTAACCACCTATATCTGACATTGTTTAGTTTTCTACAAATATCTGTGCATAGCAGTGATTAACAAACTTCATATATAGACCCTTGAGTATCTTGTTAAAAATACAGATTCCTTAACTTTGGCAAAATGTTGATAATTGTTGAATTTAAATTATAGGTACATGGGGTCCATATATGCCTCTACTTTTGTGTGTGTTTGAAACTTTCCGTAATAAAAAAATTTAGAAGAAAAACAAAATACATGCATTGATTCATAATTCCTGGGCCTCTGTGCTGACATCTTGCTTTAGTACCTTTGAAATGGGATGCCGGAATCTGCTCAGGTGCCCTAGCTTGGGTGGTCCTTGGACTATACTCTGAGAAACACTGGTACATTCACTGTTAAGTGATTAATTTGTTTGACTTAGGTATTTTTATGATTGCTATTTTTCCAATGAAGGTATTACCCAGGGACCTCCAGCCTGTAGTGCTCAAATAAATGGACATTCCCTTCTTAGCCCAAGTTCTTACCTGAACAGCTTCTGGAGGAGTGGGATCCTTGCAACCAAAATTATAAAAATGGAACTCTCCTCCAGTCAAAGCAGCAACCTCTTTCAAAAATCTGTTTGCAATCTCATCATTGTAATTGAAGGAGATGGTATAAATAGGAATTTCCTGAAAACTTTTGACCTGGTCTATAACCATTTCAGGTGGCTGAAACGGTAAGTTTGGGGGAGAGGTGGGAGGGAGATGAAAAGAGAAGAGATAGAAAAGAATATGAAAATCCTCAGTATTTACTTTAGATACTCAAATAGTAATTCCTTATACAGTGGTAAATGGCTTCTTATAGACATGTCGATTCAATTAAATAAACAACAACAACAAAAAAGACTGCCAGATGGTGAGAGTACAGTGATCCGTAAGACATGGTCCTTGGCTCTCAGGTCTCTCAGTTGGGTGGGACAAAGAAGCTAGGAGAAAGATTTGGCTAACCAAGTCACCCAACTTTAGCTCCAGAGTTAGAGACCTGGGCTTGAAGCTCGTCCAGCACTGCCCATCTGAATGGCCTTGGGCATGTTCTGTCTAATGTGAGTTTCGTCATCTGTGCCTCAGAACTAATACACCCTCCTTACAGGGTTGCTGTGAGGAGTGAATGAGATGATGTTCCTTGGAAGCCATTCCACAAATATTTGTTGAGTACCTTTTATTTGCCAGGTGCTGCTGTCAGCCAAGGATGATGCCAAGCAGCACCCCGAGCCACTTTCCCAAGTTCCCTTTGCTCCGAGTCTAAACAGCTGTGCAGACAGGGCTACCTTCGTCCACACACATCAGCTGGAGTAGCAAGAAGGGCAGAGATTCTGTCTCCTCCCTGCTGAAAGGAGGTCGGTCTGTGCATGCACAGTTGATCACCCTGCACCTTCCCCATCTCCTGCCCTAACATACCTCATGCGAAGACTTTAGCCCTTAGTTTTATTTAGGATGGTGCAAATGCCTTCATAATGTCCATTTTCTTGATTGCAGTCCAGGTGAGCCCCTAACTTCAAAGAATTCCCAAAATGACCGCAGTTAAAGCTGCACGGGGCTGTTCCCAGCAAAGACCCTGCCAGTTTACACTATGGATGCCCACCAAAGAACACTTATCCAATGTGTACATGATTCCATTTTAATGAAGATTAATACTTCTAGAACCCTTTTGACCTGCTTAATTTTAAAGACTGTATCTCTTTATAATGCTTCCCCAGACATTTAATAAGCAAGCAGGAAGCTAGTGTCCATATAACATCTGTGTCTATTCTTTCAAGGAGAAAATTCTGCTGAATATTTGAAATAACACTTCTCTTACACATTTAGTTCTTATAAAGCCAGTGAAAATTCAAAAGCAAATAGAAATTGAGTGATACATCTCAATATCTTCTACATAGAACATGAATATCAAATATCAATTTGCCTTTTTGAGAGAATCCAAGGAATAATGCAAAAATAAGCAGACTGCATGTGTCAAAAAGGCAGTGTTGAATTTGGAAGTCCTCAAAAGCTTCTAAATTATGTTTGAGGTAATTTGTACATTTCTGACTCCAGCTATTTTTTTTTTTTTTTTTTTTTGAGATGGAGGCTCACTCTATCATCCAGGCTGGAGTACATTGGCGCGATCTCAGCTCACTGCAACCTTTACCTTCCAGGTTCAAGCGATTCTCCTGCCTCTTCAGCCTTCTGAATAGCTGGGATTACAGGCAGCTACCACCAAGCCTGGCTAATTTTTTGTATTTTTTGTAGAGACAGGGTCTCAATATGTTGCCCAGGCTGGTCTTGAACTCTTAGGTTCAAGCAATTCTCCTGCCTCAGCCTACCAAAGAGCTGAGATTACAGGAGTGAGCCACCCCACCCAACCAAATTTTCTCCTTTTTAATGCTTATCTGTTTTCCAACTTGACCATCATGTAAACAATTTTAAAAATCAGTAAGAATGTATTAAAAAGAAAAAATACACCTTGAGCTGCCTAGACGTCTCTCAAGTTCGAATCTTCAGCTGACATGGTCCCAAACTTCAGCTCCATATTTCTAGTGGCTTCTGGACATCCATGCACTACAGGCTCACAAGCAGCTTCCTCCATGAGCCACCCCCAAGGCTACTTGCCTCTGCTTGAAATTTGTATTTCAATCAGTTAATATCATAATCACTGTAAACCGGAAGTCAGTCATCCTGACTCCTTTCTGCCGTATTCCTATCTTCTCCTCATCTCCCGCTCACTGCTTCCAAACTGGCCACCAGGTCCTGTTGATGCTGCTTCTGGCAGCTCATCTCTAGAGGCAGTTCCCTCCTCCCATTCTTGCTGCTCCTGCCTGAGGCTGGTCCTTCCCAGCTTTCATCAAGGATCTGGCGGCAAGCTACGGCAGTGCCAGCCTTTCCCTGGCACAACTGAGGCACGTTTCTGAGATCAGATGGGTGGGATGGCCCACTCCTCTGAGAGCTCCTCTCTGTGCTGACACCACCCTTCCAATGTGGCATTCAAAAACTTTCAGTCTCCCCCAACCCAACGTTTTTGCCTCCACCCTGATCTTCTTCCATTGTCCCTGCCCTCAGCTTATTTCTCTGAGGCTCCCCCACCATACTTCCATACCTCTGCGTCCCTTTTGCCCAGGACAGCAACAGTGCCCTCTGTTGCGAAGATTCCGTCTTCTCTTTCCAGACACAGCTCAAATGTCTCCGCCTTGCGGGAACCTGCCTGGCCTTCTCTCCATATCTACAGCAAAATCCATCACTCTGTGCTCCTAGACATAGCACAGTCAACCCTGTTCCCTGTATTGTATTAAACTGTATACATCTAGCACATTCCCCAAAGAACAAACATCCCAAAGGCAGAGATGAGCTATTATTTATCTTTGTAGCCTCAGACCCTGGCACCACACATGGAATAGAAGACATACATGATGAACTGCTTCCAAAGAGAAAACACACTAAAGTTGATAGGAAAAAATAATTTAAAATAAATTTTCACTTTACACACTCCCTTTCTGCCATAAATCTAAAGCTGTAGTAAAATCCAGATGCTTACTCTCTGAACTTTAAGCCCTGAACTTTTTGCCACAGGGTATTTTAGAATACTTGCCTAGCAGTCTGCATAGGCAAACATCTCACAAGGAAGGACACGAGTTGACACTAATTCACTCTAGCTGCTAATTCACACTATGCTGGCCTGAAAATCCTTCGATTTATTTAATGCCTGGAGTACTCATCTTTCATTCACAAAGCTCAAAAGAAGATGAACAGACTCCTCTAAAACTTCAAATATTTTCCAGTCAGGCTAAACAAAACAAAGGAGATTTCGCTAGAAAGGCATGTTTTTGTTTAAATGAGTTCTAAGTAAAGCCAAGGACATTATGCAGTGACATGTTTAGATTCAGTCTCCAGAGGAAGAAAAAAAATCAGAAAGAATCTCCTCGCTCTTCGTTTGTAATAAAATATAAACCAGTCTTCAGGGGAAGGCAGACGCCTCCTTTCTTGGGGCTGGTCTCCAGGCCAGGGGTGTGTGTTACACTCACCAGCAACAGTCGCTGTCTCATAAATTCTCCTCAGAGTTTCCAGAGACAAAGGAATCTCTCAGTGTATTTGCTCATCTCAGCTCTGAGTCCCTAAGCCAGTGAAATGTATCTCCACGGTTTTTTGGTAGCAGCTTAAAAGGTCTCCCAAGCCCATTTCCAGCATTTGCTTTCAGAGCTTCAGTGAGGCCCTCTTTGTTCCCAGCTCTGATAAGTACCTGATCAGGTCTCCCATCAGTCAGAAGGTAGATGGCCTGTGTTTCTTTATCAGCAAAAGCAGTTTTCAGGGCACTCAGGGTGTTTGTGGAACTTCCAATCTATGGAAAAAAGAGAGAGATACCAAGGACACCTTTTTGAATCTCAAAAAAGAACTCACAGCAAGTATTTATTTTCTGCTTCCAAACAAAGAAGAAAAACTACTTATGAGATAAAAGATAAATTAAAATTAGACTGAGATAACAATTTAACCCCAGTGATTCCAAGAAACATATTTCAGGATGTGCCAAGAAGTCTATCCGGGCAGTCTAAGGACTGCTAGAAGCCAGGTCTGTGGATTTCCTGTCTTGATGACAGAGATCTTAATGCAATTTTATTTGTTTGTGTTTCTATGTGAGATGCTAACTCAGTTACTGCTAAGTCGTCTGTCAACAGAGCTTAAACATGCAGCCTAAATACACTGTGGCATCATACTGGTTTCAAACCAGGATTTATTCATAATACCCAGTATTTGGTAAACATGAGTGTGGTATCATTAGCAATCTAACAACGTACACGTAGACATATCTAACATTACTTGACAAGTTCTGATGAAATATATACCGACTTTCAAGTGCATGAACCCACCTATTATCAGATCTTACATGAATGCACAGTATTGAATGAGGGACTTTAAATGTTCTGCTTTACCTATGATGGGAATAACCAGACATACATCTGCTATACCATTATATATGACTCAAAATCAGAATCAATAAAAAGGAATATGTGATGATAGACTGGATAGGGAAAATGTGGTACATATACACCATGGAATATTACGCAGCCATCAAAAACGATGAGTTCACGTCCTTTGTAGGGACATGGATGAACCTGGAAACCATCATTCTCAGCAAACTGACACAAGAGCAGAAAATCAAACACCGTATATTCTCACTCATAGGTGGGTGTTGAACAATGAGAACACATGGACACAGGGAGGGGAGCACTACACACTGGGGTCCGTTGGGGGGAAATGGGGGAGGGGCGGGGGGTGGGGAGGTGGGAAGAGATAGCATGGGGAGAAATGACAGATACAGGTGAGGGGACGGAAGGCAGCAAACCACACTGCCAAGTGTGTACCTATGCAACAATCTTGCATGTTCATCACATGTACCCCAAAACCTAAAATGCAATAAAAAAAAAAGAAAAAAAAAAGGAATATGTTACAGCCTATTCTTTCTCCTACACATAACATCAATCATAACACCATCTACAACTCTTTTTTTTTTTTTTTTGAGACAGGGTCTCAGGGCTCCATTGCCCAGGCTGAAGTACAGTGGGGCTGTCTCAACTCACTGTAACCTCCATCTCCTGGGTTCAAGCAATTCTCCTGCCTCAGCCTCCTGAGTATCTGGGACTACAGTTGTACACCACCATACCCAGCTAATTTTTTTTTCTTTTTTTGGCAGAAATGGGGTTTCACCATGTTGACCTGCAATTCCTCAAGTGATCTGCCTGCCTTTCACCATGGTTTCCGCATGTTGGTCTGCAACTCCTCAAGTGATCTGCCTGCCTTGACCTCCCAAAGTGCTGGGATAGCAAGCATGTACCCATGCCTGGCCTGCAACTATTCATGTATAAAAAAGAATAGATAAAAATATACATATTGTGTGTCAAGAGAAATTAATGATAAATTTTTAGCAATCTCTCAAATCGTATGAAACAAAAATTAGAAAATCTCTTAAAAGATTTCATTAATATAGAAAGGAGTGGATTTCTATATAAATATAAATTTACTGGAATGTACTCTCCTTAATATGCAAAAATGATCTTTACGAAGGGACCATCAGTAGAGATACAGGACTTTGAATTCTCCAAAAGCCTCCTTCACTTTCCCCTTCATCTCAGTTCCATTGTTATCAGTCCAGCTTCAGTTGTAAGTAAGAAAACCAACTATGGTTGATTCAAGAAGGAAGGAATTTATGATAAAGGACATTGGGATGGCTCACAGCATCACCAATGGACAGGATAACATGGCCTGGGACCTCTCACCAGGAACAAGGCCCCCAATCCCTCGGGGGGTCCCGCTGTAGTCCTACTGCAGAGTGCCAGGCGCCGTGGCTTTCCACACTGGCACTATCGACAAGAGATGGACCAGCGCTCACTGCCACTGCCACCCCGGGAGGTGCATCAGTCTCCATCTGCCACCACTGCCACTGCTCTCTCTGCTAGACCTGCCATCTGGAGTCACTATCTCTCAAGTCAAAGTCTAGGAGGTTACTCTGACTGATGGTGCCTGGGTCACATTACCCACACCACGGACACCCTCTCATGAAGACTTTCTCAGACTCAGCCATGATGGGGACCCCCATGCCCTGACCCATCCAGCTGCTCTCACCTATGGCTTCTTCACTGGAGCCTTTCATTTCAGTAGATATTTAGTAAGCTCCTAAGTACCACGTGCCAGGCATTTTGATAGATCTGGGACATAACTTTCAAAACCAGAACAAATTCTGTGCCTCAAAGGAGGTTCACAGGATGGTGCTGAATGCCTAGAAAATGACTCCCAAACACTGTGCTAAAAGCTATAAAAGTTCATGCCCAGTGTATGATGTGCCTTATTCTAGCTGGGTGGGTTGCTAAATACATCTCCTGGTGGAGACAGCAGGAAGACTATTCAAGGAAACCACAAAAAGGATGGTGCAGACTTCTTTCTTGTTCAGAATCCAGCAAGTAATCCCGTAATTGTAAAGCCCATAGGATGAGAGTGGCCAGGAAAATGATGATAGTCATGATTGTCAAAAAGCAACATCTATTGAGTGCTTACTAGGCTAAGGGCTTATTTTTCCTGTTTTTTTAGTCTGTGGTCAGCTCCCTATCCCCATCCCAGAAGGTCACCCTTCAACTGTAGGCAGCCCAGGGACATGCCTTCCACCCCTGCAGACAGCACCAAACAGGAATTGAGGGGGAGCCCCAGCAGCACAAGATGGCTCAGGAAATGAAACTGTCACTGGAACTAATGCCCACAGAAGTAAGCCAGAGCAAACATGCTACACCTAAACACAGTGACTGCTGAATAAACAGATGTAAAGGGAAATAAAGAGCCTTCTAACATAATAACTGAGAGGTCTAGGATATAATTTAAAAATCACTCATTATACCAAGAACCAGAAATATCACATTCAAATGAGAAAAACAACCAACTGATGTCAGTACCAAAAGAGCCTCAGAAATCTCCAGAATAATGAATAAGAGCTAATAACATTCATACCATTAGATTTTCAGAAGAAAGAGGGGAAAGAGTGTGGGGCTTAAAAAGCACTTATTAAGTGATGGTTGAAAACAAAAACCCCCAAATTTTGTTAAAGATAGAGAAACTAGCCAGGCGTGGTGGCTCAAGCCTGTAATCCCAGCACTTTGGGAGGCTGAGGCGGGTGGATCACGAGGTCGAGAGATCGAGACCAGCCTGGTCAACATGGTGAAACCCCGTCTCTACTAAAAATACAAAAATTAGCTGGGCATGGTGGTGCGTGCCTGTAATCCCAGCTACTCAGGAGGCTGAGGCAGGAGAATTGCCTGAACCCAGGAGGCGGAGGTTGCGGTGAGCCGAGATCGCACCATTGCACTCCAGCCTGGGTAACAAGAGTGAAACTCCGTCTCAAAAAAAAAAAAAAAAAAAAAAAAAGATAGAGAAACTACAATTCAAGAAGCTAAGCCAATCCCAGATAGGATAAAACCAAAGAAATCCACACTAAGACACATTGTATTTAAATTTCTGAAACTAAAAACAAAGAAAAATCCTTAAAAAGCTGAAGAGAAATAACACATAACCTATAAAAGAGCACCAATTCAAAGGACAGCAGTTTCTCATCTGAAACTATAGAAACCAGGGGATGGGGCACCACAGTTGTCAAGTGCTGAAAGAAAATAACTGCCAGCCGTGAATTATACATCTGGTGAAAATATCCTCCAGGGTTGAAGGAGAAGGAAAACTGCGTGAATTTATTACTGAGAGACCTACCCTTAAAGAATGGTTCATGAAAGCTTTCCATATAGAAAGAGAACAATAAACAAAGAAAGCTTGGACTTCCAGGAAAAAGAACAACGGAATGCATAAATATAAAAGGAAGCATAATAGATAATCCTCAACATCATAAGTTTCTTTAGTTATGTTTTAGGACTGAAGCAGAAGTTTAGCACCATCTAAGACAGCATATAATGTATGCAAAGGAAATACTTCAGATGAGTATATATTTTAAATGGTGAGTGTAAAGGGACCTATGTAGAAGTAAGGATGGTACACTTAACTTGAAGCAGCAAGCCACCAATAGGCTGTGATAAGTTATATCACAATAGGCTGTGATAAGTTATATCACAATAGGCTGTGATAAGTTACATCACAACAGGCTGTGATAAGTTACATATACATATAAGGAAATGTATAGAACTATTAAGAAAATTAGACAAAGCAATGCACTCAAAAACAGTATAAGTAAAGGGAAAAATGAGAAACAGAGGAAATACACATACAAAAATAATAAATAAAATGAATACTTAATCCTTAAATATGAATAATTACTTTACATATAAATGACCTACACATACAAATTATGTGACAGAGATTGAAGAGTGAACAAAAACATGACCCAATTTATTCAGTCTACAGAAAACTTACTTCAGGCATAACAACATAGATAGGTTGAAGGTAAAAGGACAGAAAAAACATATTATGCAAACATTTATTTTTAAAAAGCAGAAATAACTATTAATATTACATAAAGTGGACTAAAACACAAAGAAAATTGACTATGGACAAAAAGGGACATTACATGATGATAAAATTCTCTATCCACCAAGAAGACAATCCTAAATGTATATGCATCAAACAACAGAGCTTCAAAATACATGAAGTAAATTTGATGGAGATGAAAAGAAAAACAGATAAAATCCATTTTTATCTACTTTATAATAGATAAAATAGATGGAGTTATAACAGATAAAATAGATAGAGTCTTACCATTAGGGTCTTCAATATACCATTCTTTTTTTTTTCTGAGGGGTGTACATTTTACTGGAAACCTTAAATACTCTTTAGATAGAACATGTTTTCAATCAAGGT